CAGCCTCGGGAAAAGCGTGTTAAGTATTCCCTCAATGGCCCCGTGCTATGTGTGCAGGGCAGTTAAAATTCCCGTCGCCGGGATCAGTGAGGAGGAAGTAATTCCCCAGTAACTCCACATTCCTGCGAGGACCGAACCCCCAACCGCGGCAGGTTCCCCCCGACAGCCCCACAACGCAGTCATTAAAGCTCTCACACCGTCCGTACGGAACAAAGATTTCATGTTTAGTTTTGTCTAGAATTACTTCCAGTAATTTACAGAGCACTTACATTAAACAACGAAAGCATAAAATTGAGAAAACAATTTGGAAAGGCACACGATACAATCAGGTTTTGTCACAGAAATAACTGTCCATAATACTCTATTTCAAGCTCAGTTCATTACAAACAATGTAAAAAACTAGCACTGCAGCAGGTGGTATTTCAAGCACCAAGCTACTCCTGTATGCACACTGTACATCATACTCAAAAGGCCTTCAGCCTTGCCGGGAAGGAACAGTTTCTTCAGTATCCCCGTCGCTCTGGCTGAAGTGTAAAGTGGTGTTCCCGTAACTGTTGTGCTTTTATTTTGTGAAGTGAAAGGGACACGGCCTCCAGTCTCATTCTCTGCATGGATTATCACTGAACTTTGGTTCAACACTTTTTACATACACAATACGTGGCCATTGACTACATTCAAACTACTGAAGTCATTCTTAAAGCTCTTCTAACTCTATAAAGTCATCCAATAACAGAAAAAATACTCTTAAGAGGGAGAAGTATGGGGAAAAGAAGAAAACTAGCTTCAGCTATTTTAAATGACTAAATAAAGCTTGGTTTGGGGGAAAACAGAAATTAAAAAGGTCATTAAGTGACCACACAAAGCAAGCTGAAAGCACAATCTGCAGAGAAGCCAAAACACAACAGAAGCTCTGGCTACTGTAAAGCCAAAAGGCTTGTCAGGCCGAAAGCACCACAGCCCACACGGATGGTTTTCCCTTTCCTGTGGGCTGCAGGAAATGCCATCTAAAGTCCCATCCACCTTGCAGCTCAGGTGAGGGTGCTTCATGCCCAAGTCAAAAGGCTAAAAACGTCCCAGCACCACATAGCTCCAAAATGATGTCTCTACTTCACAAGTAGGCTGGCCATTCTTGTTACTTTAGTGATGCAATGAGCTAATGACAGTACAGAAAACTGCAAACAAGAGCTGGAGACACAAATACCAACGTAGTAAATTTTTAGCTACAGGTGCTCAAGCTTTTGCTAATAATGAAATAATTGTTAGTTTGTTTTTACAAAATCTCAGTCCTGAGAGGCTACATGCACAAAACAGCTTTGTGTAAAGTTCTTTTTATTACAGGCAACATTAGTCCATACAATAGTACACAATACTGACATACAAGTGTAATCTTTCAAAATCATCATTTAAACAGCAAAGACCAAGAAACAGAATTTTAACTACTTCAGTTTTTTTCTTCCCAAGATCCTTTTTCAGTAAATTATATTGAAACATACAAATAGAGAAAAAATACCCATTCAACATATACTGTAGTTAAATGGTTATTTTGTTTAAAATCTTTAATAAGAAAAATCCTTTTTAGCAACCTACATATAGATAAGTAGCAAACTTTGTTTTAAACAAATCCTCTCCATTAAAAGATCTGAAGAATTTTCATCCATCATTTTCTTCTTAGTCCATAACACACAGTTTTGCAATACCTTGATACCTTAAAGTTTTTCAACTGAAGGACTGATACTAGGGGGCTTCCTAGATTATGACCTCTCTTCCCCCCTTTCTATTTCCTAACTTTCTGTCCAACAGAAGGTGAGTAAGCACGTAATACTTCAGATTTTTTTAATCACCACTCTGTTTCATGAGAGCACAGACAGGTCTGCTCAATCCCCCTAAATCTACTATATTTTGCTGTTCAGGAGGAACAATATATGCCAATAAAAGCAGAAAACCTGCAGCTTTTCTGTCACATGCTTTTGATTTTTGTCAAATTTTCTGGTTTATGCTTCCAGCTGATAACATGTATGTGTCATCTCAGTATTAGTTTAAGTCTTTAAACAAAAAACTATATTTTCCAAAGTCATTATCACTGGGAGCAATCAAGTGATCTTTCCTTGCTTTGCTGAGCTTCATTCTTAAAACTTGTCTTCGTTCTTCCCACTCATGGAGTTCAGCATTTCCATGGGCAAATTTACAGTTGTTTCCTTCAGTACAAGTACCAGCCATATATCTGTTAAGACAGGTATCAAATAGTGTTTTCACAGAATTATCACGATTGCTATTGTATTTAGGTATTTTCTTCTGGTCATGCTTCTCAAATACACTACAACATTAAGGATAAAAATAAAATATTGGAAGAGTATTTACTTTTTAAGTAAGACAATACTAACTCTGTTTAGCATTTGATTACATTTTTTTTCCCCAGCTGTCAAGTATTCACAGAGGACAAGAGATGGCTCTCTCCTTTCTGTTCTTCATGTTCCTACTTTACTGAGTCATTTAATGCGTGATACGTTTAATTCCATCAGGTTATATTATCAGGTAAATGAATACATTATCATTTAACTCATTAAACTAAAGCACTACTATTGTTAAAAAAATCCAACTAATTCATTACCCTTTTTTAACTAAATTTGGATTTTAAGTACTCAGTATGACTTAAGAATCTATTTTACCCTAGTATTTTTGTTCTAAGCATGCCAGTTTGTGTTCACTTTATGTAAGTCTACATGAGGTCTGTCAATGTTTAAAACATCAAATGCTTTTAGGATGTTACTTAAAAATTTAGTAAAGGGGACATATAAGCTTCCATGCAAAGGCTGCAAACAAAAAATAACTTGATTTATATGCTGTGCAATTTCTCAAGATCTCTAAGGCATTCAAAATCTTTAACTTGAAACAGAATAAGAAAGGTATCCATACCAGCAAATTGAATCTTTAACTCCAGAATGCAGATTCTAAGGTTTTTAGCCTTTCAAAAGGATACCAGCAGTGGAAAGAACTTTCAATACATTTTTGACTGCAGTCAGGTAAACAGGCTGCATTGAAGAATTAAAGGGACCAGCAAAACATACAACCAATACTGGGGAAGACCAACAGGTCTTGGAAGTTCTCGTCCACATGTTCATAAATGACTTTCAGTAACAAATACTCAATGTAAACAAATTTGGTTTGATGCTAACAACATTTCTACTTGCCTTAAAACTCCAATATCATGCCCAGCTAGGTACTGTTCTTGTGTTCCACAGGGAATTAATACACAGATGCTTAAGTAAACTTGTAATAATACCAACAATATTTCACATAGCTGCAATAAACTAGCTTAACATCACACAAGCATTAATTTGGTTCCACAACTGGGCACATTGTCACTCCCTGAGTTTTAACAGCATGTGTTACAATACTGTTAATTACTTCATTTCTTGTTCAAAGATTTATGCAAGCAAGAAACATCTGTCAAAACTAATAACCACCTTAATTATTTACACTACAAACTGTCATTTTTCAGCATTTTTGACATCTTAAAAGCCACATACCTATCACAAATGCTAAAATTTCCGGTTGGAAAGCGATACTGCCAGCAGTTTTGATCATCCTCAGTGTGGAAAACCTTCTCTTTATGCTTTTCAGAAGAAATGTGACCCTGCCATTGCTTCTCACTATTACAGTTCTTCCCACACATCCAACAGTGAAAATCCACCTGTTTTACAGTGAATTTGAAAACAAAACATTGAGAATTCAATACTGTAAGCACAGAACTGCTCCTAACACATTTTGAATGTTTGCCTTATGTTGGCTTGTAAGTTGTTGTTAACCTAACAGATGTAGTTCTCTGAACAATCACCTGAAGTTTATGATCTCCACTGGCTTTAGAGGATTCAGAAATGCCTTACAGTGTCAGTTAAAAGTCTGCAATTAGTGTAGCTACCTATGATCTAAGGAAGCACCAACAAAATAAGGACAACAATGCATGTTACTGACTGGGGGGGGATGTGACAGCACAAGAAAAACCCCACATGTTTGAATTTAGAATTATACCTATGATTACTTACTGTAACTTCAGCATAGTCAGTCGGCATGTGAATTTGCTTCCCATTCTCTTTGTTTGCCTGAGCAGCTGTATCATCTCCCTTTTCTGGTTTTTGACTTTTTAGCCATATGTCATACAACTGCTCCAAGTCTTGAACTAATGAGAGCAGAAGCTAAAATAAGTAATTAGCAATTGAGGCAAGAGTCTGAGAATACTAGATAAATGACTGAGTTTGCAAGCATAATTCAGTCCCCACCTGTTGTAAGAATCAAAAAGGAAGGACACAATGTAGACAGTTAGACAGTGCACAGATAAGAGCTTAGAGAAATACCAGTCTCGCGCTACTTACCAAGACCCATTGCTGCCTATCTAGAGGAAAGTAAGATGTTGCACACTTCTCAACAGGCACCCAAAGTACAGGTAACAACTGTGCCACTGGATAACAACGCTGCTGCTGTGTAGCAATACCTGAATTTTAAAGTACTAATATAAAGTGTACTACAGCTTTTGGTAAATTCAGTCTGCTTTCTTGGAGACCATGGTAATATAATTTATGCATTTATTACTTCCAATTTTTTACTTTATCTCCCCAGTAACATTCTAACAGGTTACAAGTCAACAACAGAAAGTGAATAGTAATTTACAATGAATGCACTGAGGGGGCAGAAATTCTTCTGCTAATAGCTTGCCCCCACGTTATCAGCAGGATCCTAGTGTGTGCACATGGCAACACCAAACAATATTGCTGCATGGATCAATATACTATTTCTAAGACATCTAAAAAAAGTTATACAAACTATTGTTAAAAACCACAAAAGCAACAAATACATAATGTAACTATTTTTATTTAATACTGGTTTTGAATACCCAGTCTGGGTCTATTCAAATCAAACAAAAAACAAAAAAAAAGGCATTTGCAAGGCTTACTACAAAAGACAGTGAAAGAAAGTGGATTAAAAGGTAATTGAGGAACAAGAATGAAAAGCAGAACAATTAGATTTACAAGGGTTAAGATTTACTGTTCTACTTACTGCTGTTCTCCTTCATATAGGTCCACATCTCTCTCTCCTCAGGACTGTGAGCAAATGAACAGTTTCCATCATACTGACATTTCTTGCCTGAAGCAATATGATTGCACAACTGTAACGTGAATTAAAAAATACATCCTTATGAATATAAAATAAAATAGATGATAGTAAAAAATGGGGTGGGGGGAGAAGTTCAGTCTTGGCTAGTGTTTTCCCTCCCAATCAGCCATTTATATCATGAAAAATAAAATCATATTTATTTTAGAAAATATATTTATATT